ACAGAAGGTGGAAAATCGCTAAACCATCACTCCTGTTAATAACACAGTGTGTCCTGCAGCAGGTTGGTTTGGCTGCACAACACGATACCGTGTCTCTTGATATATATTGTTTTTAATAAGGCTGTTTGCAATAATTGCAAGGCGAGCCTCAGGTTGATGTTTGAGGTGGAACTGCTTATATTTTTGGGTCTGTCATATAGTTGAGATATATCAGTAGGAAAATATTGAAGCATATACATACACATCTGACTGAAATCTTACTACAGGTCTGTGGGTAAAACTTAATCATATCTCCCTGACTATATACATAAGCATACAGCTGAGAATAAATACTTCATTAGATGCCCTTCCCTTATTCTATACATAGATATATATTCAGTTTAACAGATGCAACATAATTCTGAATAAATATGTGATAAAATTTCCCTTACTCTAAAACACTACATAGTTGACTCAATTGTTATAGAACTGTGTATAAATACGTCACCAGACTTTCTAATACTCTATATAAGGCTGCCGTCTTATTTACCGCAACAGAACAGTAAATAATTACATTATTTGATCTCTCTTACACTCCAAAAACGAAAAATACAATTGAGTGTTTGCTATGATGGAACTTTAAACAAATACATCATTAAATCTCCCTTGCTCTACACATAGATACACACCCGGTTCGTTTACTGCAGAATTGTGAATAACTGTGTCATTAGTTCTCTGATTATTTATACCAATACATACTCGGCTTAACTTTTTTCATAGTTACATCGTGTATAGATAAATACTTCCAAGTTACCTGCTGGTGTGAGACTGTAAGCGGATATCTAAGTAATATCCATTCGACATTTTCTGAAAATGGCGGCCACGTCAAAGAACCAGAATATGTCCAGTAATCTCGTAGTGAAGGATCTGTAAGTATAAAATGTTTATTTTAAACAGTTGAAACATTTTTTTATAAAAACATTAAACATGTCACTGCCTGTTCTTTCAATTTACAGACATAAAAAAAAATATTTCTAGATTTATTTTTCCTTCGGCCGTTAAAATGCACGGTGACTTGTTGACAAGCAAGATTACTTGCTTTGGGAATTAATAAATAAATGAAACTTAACACAAAATTACTGAGACAAAATAATCCTTAAACCTCATCCAGTAAAATAAATAGAAAAGTTGAATATTTACAAATATAATATAGGTTGTGCAAGTTTAGGGTTAATAACTATAAAAAACAAAACAAATAAAATTACCGAATTTTCATTTAACAATGCTTATACTATGACAGCCATCACTTTAGCATGAACAGTTCGTGGCTATTGTAAGAAGCACTTTTCTATAAAGTTTAGTACAGTTTGTTAATCAACAAGTATTCTAATCCCTTCTGTAAAATTCAATAAATTTCCTTGTAAGCATCCATACAGTATTTTTTATTATAAGAAACATTCTTCTATAAACCTTAATACAGCTCCGTAATGTAAAAAACAATCTCCTGTAAACCTCGGTACAGCCCGTTAATGTAAAATACATTATCTGTAAACCTCAATACAGCTCCTTAATGTAAAATACATTCTTTTTAAACCTCAGTACAACCGCTTTAAGTTAAAATACATTCTTTTTAAACCTCAGTACAACCGCTTTAAGTTAAAATACATTCCCTGTAAACCTCAGTACAACCCCTCGATGTAAAATACATTCTCTGTAAACTTCATTACAATTCTTAATGTAATAACATTTCCCTGTAAATTCTAGAACAGTTTCTTAATCTAAGAAAAATATAATCCCTGCTGTAAAATGTTACAAATTTCTTTATTGTAAGGAGCTTTCTCCTGTAAAATTTAGTGGGGTTTCTTAATGCAAGAAGCACTCTCATGTAAATATCATTACAGGTGCTTAGTGTCAAAAAGGATTTCCCTGTTAAATTAAAAACTTCTCTTAATGTTCAAAGCATTTTCTTAAATCTATGATTTACTTTTCGCTTTATTTTCTCTGAAATCAACCCATCGTGACAAAAATACCTTTACAGTGTAAGAAAAAAAAATATTTCAAGCATGTACGTTTCAGCACTATACATTATATAGATCACCTATACTAAAAACATTGTTGTTTTTTTTATAAACTCCTAGATATAAGCCAGTTGCTACTCTATATTGTAGTGGTAAAATTTTATTGGACATACTGTTATGTTAAAATTAAAACTTTAAGAGATTGAAATAATATACTGATGTCAGTTGTGTGAAAATTTTGAAGTGGCCAATTAACTCATCTACCATTTGTTCGGACGACTCTTTCATTTATCACGTAGTAGAATATCTTAAAACCTAATAGATTTTATGTTTAAAAATTAAAAGCAATAACTTGTTGAATGCTGTATTTTGATATGACAGGAAGGTTTTATTAATTTTCAGTGACTTTAAAACGTACTTCTGAAATATAGTAAAAAAAAAAACCTGTGTACGCTCTTTCAGAGTACATATATATGAATTAAGAATAAAAAACGTCCGAATCAGTTTTATGAGTATGGTAGCAGAATATTTCTCGATAATTTATGTTTCTAAGTTTAGTATTTTATCATTTATATGCAAATTTTTATTATTTGGCTTTAAAAAGATATACAACTTAATAGACTGTAAAACACTCAACTTTATCCTGTCTTATGGTAAATAGGTAATTAATACGAAAAACACACGTTATAAAACAATTTACCTCTACTTACAATAACATTTTATTGTGTTTTAACCACATAGATAATCAGCGTTTGATAATCACTTTCATGTCTGACGATGAGCAAACTCCCAAATGAACTGCATCGTATATGCTTTAAAAACCTCTCTATACTCAATGGACTCATTTCACTGTGCTTAAAAACTATATCATAACCTGATAGTGGGACTAACTTAACCATTATATACATAGTTTTGTTATAACGTTTGAGTAACATATATCTTTTTTCAAAAGACGATAGCATTTTGTAATGAAAGAAGGCAACACAAAGGGTTTTCGAAAATATACTGTGGCAAACGTATAATAAGCAAGGTATAATTCAATTATTTTTTGAATGTTACTTTCATTAGACGTATTGGTTAGTGTTTAATATATCTATTTCAATTACTTAATTTTTTATTTATATATTTTTATTATAAATATTATTTTTCATTGTTATCATAGTATATTTTTAGGACTAACCTAAATCTCTAAACTGACCAAACCTCATGAGATGTTAATGGGATTATTTCCGAAAATATCGCTAACAGCAATTTTACCTGACTGAAGAAACAATACATTTTAATTTTTATAGGTAAGAACAGCATATATAGTTAGTTATATTTATTGCTGCGTGGATTTTTAGTTCTCATCTATATAAATGATTTGCTTTGACCAGAAGCCAATCTTAATTATGAAGCTAGCCTATTTTAAATTATCTTTACTTCTGAAATCAAACGTAACTAAAGTTTAAAAAAAACACATATAAACATGAACGATGGAAGATATAATGTTGCAAAATACTCTGTACTAAAAGGTATAGTTATTATTTGTTGTTTTGTAAAAGGGTGTTACAATTCTAAAGTATAAAATCTGACGGTGCTCCAAATATTTTGTGTTTCTCAAGTTGTAAGAGCAAGTTTCAGTGTTAGAGTTACTACAACTTACTTTAAAAGCACGATAATCACAAGCTCAAGTTACTTGGCAAGTTGGTGGGTTAACGTCGTAACTTTATTTAAATTGGTGTAAATTTTAGTGTTTCCAACCGAAACAATTTGACATAATTCCTTTAAAAAAAACGAAGTGGCCATGAGCAATCCTTTATAAATATGTGTGTGTAGGTAAAGTACTACAGTGGAACGCTACTCTCAAGAAAATATTGATGTTTTGATACACATTTGGTTATTAATGTGAAACAAAAGCTTACACGTTATAGATTCTTTCCTTACTCTTCTTTCACCTAAATTGCAAATTAAAGAGTTCTAAGAATTCTGAATGAACAGCTCAAGGTTTCCCTCTATGTGATAGTCGTCTGAATAAAATAAAGTGAAAATAAAAAAGTAAATATTTTCAGCTAAATGTTGATTTTATAAAAATCATAAATTTTGAAATAGCAACTAACAGTATATCTCAAATACAAAGGATCACAACATTTTATCGATTTTTGGACGTTCGTCCCTGATCGCAGCCAATACTTAAACAATCTAAATTTTCTTAGTATTTTACATGAAACATATTGAAATTATCAAACTACTAAAGTGAGTACTAAGTTTCCAAAATAGCACACTTCAAACGAAATAAAACATCGTGTAGCTTATACCGAAAGTTTGTTTGTTTTGGAATTTTGAGGCAAAGCTATACAAAGAGCTGTCATTCACTCATAGCTGTTCTTAATTTTGAACTGATAAACTAGAAAAAAGGCACCTAGACAACAGCGTCAACCATCAACTGTTGAGCTACTCTTGTATGGCCGAACATTGGGATTAGACTATCACTCTTATAGCTCATCCATGGCCTCAAAGTAAGGGGGAGCGTTTTGGCGGCAACAGAACGCGAAACATGAACTCTAAGCCACACTACATTAAAAATGGATTACAGAAACAAGCTAAACAAACAGCGACACACTACTAACGACAAAGCTTTGCTTACCAAGAAAGTTTCCTCCTTAAGAAATTTGATTATATCTATGGTGTATGTACAAACATTCATCATAAAATATATTTTGACAAGATAGGAAAAATTAGCAATTATAACCGATCCTTTGACATTTGGGCTTTTTTATGTTGTTAGTCATTTGTAACTAGTTACCTTTAATAAAAATTTTGTCAGCTCAGAAAATTTAAATAATTAGGTAAGCAATAGAATTTTTCGAGAAGTTGGGCGTTAGAGTGGCTAACTATATTATCATAAATACTTGAAAAATATATATATGTATTGACTGTAATTATAAAATAAATATCCTCTTTTCTACACACTCATAAGTCTTATATATATATATATATGTTTATTTAAATATAAATATACATATCTTTTCTTTCCTAATTATTTTTATTTTATAATTTAAGTCTTTCTTAATAGGGCCGGACAATGGTTAACATGGCGGACCGTGGAGCTAAGTTCCGTAGTTCGCGTCCCATTACTTCTAAAAAATAAATTGCATTCAGTACCTTGGGAGCGTGGGTGCTTCAAAATTAAGGACAGTTAGCGCAGACAGCGTTCATGTAGCTTTATGCAAGATTAAACAAACAACCTTTCTTTAACATTTGATGTATTTTTTCCTTATCTAAGGTTTTTAGGAATATGGGTCTCTTTTTGAACTCTACATGTTTTGTTAGTTAGTGTGCCTGAGAATTGAATAGTTGCTAATGTTACTCCTATTTTTATAGGAAGTAATAAGAGTTACTGTGGAAATTATAAGCCATTTACTCTTACTCTGTAGTAGGAAATATTCTAGACAGTGTGATAAAAAACACTTTACAAAATAATTTATTAAAGTATATCATAAATGAAAGGCAACGTGGATTCATCAACAGGAAATCTTGCCTATCTAATCTGTTACATTATTTCAAGGTTGTTACTTGTTATTTGTACGATGAAAAGAGTCTGAAATTGATGTACTTAGATTTTCAAAATGCTTTTGATAAGGTGCCACACAAAAGATTAGCTAAAACAACCACATCTGTTGAGCTTGGGGCTTTGTTTGTTTTTTTACTTTCGCGCAAAGCTACACGAGGGCTATCTGCGCTAGCCATCCCTAATTTAGCAGTGTAAGACTAGAGGGAAGGCAGCTAGTCATCACCACCCACCGCCAACTCTTGAGCTACTCTTTTACCAACGAAGAGTTGGATAGACCATCACAATATAACGCCCCCACGGCTGAAAGGGCGAATATTTTTGGTGGGACGGGGATTCAAACCCGCGACCCGCAGATT